ACTACTACTACTACTACTACTACTACTACTACTACTACTACTACTACTACTACTACTACTACTACTACTACTACTCTCTCCACGGTAGGGATTGCATCATATTCACTGAATCCAATGGTTGTTCGGATTTTTTTTTCCTGTCTTCCTCCCTTTTGACCTTTCTGAAGCATTTGCTATGGTTGATCCTCACCCCCCCTCCTCTCTGGGTCCCTGAAACACTGTGTGCTGATGACTGACTGTTCTCTCTTCCCTTTGCTTGCTCCTCATTTTCTTCTCGCTGCTGTTGCCTGAGTTCTGCCCTTGTCTCTTCTATACTCTCTCCCTTAGTGACCTTCCCTTCCAGCCTCAGCCATTACCAGTTCATATGACCATTTTCAGTATCCTCCCAAACCTAGGTCTCTACTTCCTCCTGGATACCCCACCAGTTCCTCATAGGCAATGTGTCCAAAACCGAATGCATCTTCTTCCTCCTTGAAGTCTGTCCTTCTCTTCTATTTTTGTTTGTTTAAAGTAAGTCATAATTTCCTCATCACCCAGGATGGCAACTTCAAAGTCATCTGAGTCTTCTCTGTCCCTCAGCCCTTCTGAATCAATTTCAGCAACATCTCTCATGTATGTCCTTTCATTTCCATTGCCAAGGTAACCCGCCTAGTTCAGGCCCTTTTAATTCTCTTCACCACTATGTATCCCTATTACAATATAGCAATCGTGTCCTGACCTCCTTAGCACGAGGCTATTCCCTCTCCAAACTATTCACAATGCTTTCTGAACAATCTTCCAAATGAATACACTAATCTATTTAAAAAACCTCTAGCGGCTTCTCATTGCCTACCAAAATAAAGTACTAATTACTGACCCTCCTTCGAGGCCCTCTACAGCCTGAATTCTACTTACCATTCTAGCCCATTTCATACTTTACTACTCTCTGTTCTAGCCAAAGGCAGCTGTCCCCTTCTCCAAGGACTCTCTCGTCTCTATGCTCATATCATTCCTAGAAGAGCCTTCCTCCTCCTTGCCCCCACAAGCCACTGTTGAAGGCCCCAGCTTCTAGGTCCAGCTCAAAGGTCACCTCCTCTAGGAAGCTCTTCCTGATCCTCCAACTGAATGTGATCCATCCCTCTTCAAGTTTCTCATATGATTTTGGCTGGCCTGTCCCTTACACTTGTCTTACCTTCCATAGCATAGTCTATTGGCATACGTGTTTATTCTCCCTGCCTCCCTCCCTAGACCATAAATTTCTAGAGAACAGGTTCAGGGTCATATCTGTCTTTATGTCTCTAGTACTAAGCACAATTCTTTGCTTACAAAATGCTTATTGAATTCAACCTAAGTGATTAGCCTCTTACCAGAAGTGCACCAAAAAAAGTTTGTTTGTTTTTTTTAACTGATGCTTGGCATATAGCACTTAATAAATGAATGGTGATTGACTTAAAAATTTGAGATCACTTGTAAATGATTGAAATAGCAACAAACTGGGGCAGCTAGGTGGCACAGTGGATAGAGCACCAGCCCTGGAGTCAGGAGGAACTGAGTTCAAATCCAGCCTCAAACATATAACACTCACTCGCTGTGTGACACTGCACAATTGTCTCACCAAAAAAAAAAAAAATAGCAATAAACACAGCTATTTATAAAGCAATAAAAATGATTAAACAAAGATACCAGAATTTATGCAACTGAGTATTGTCCTTCATAGCAGCCACCTGGGCAGGCCATACACTTAGCACAACTATGCTGACATTACTCTTAAACATTTCTGAACTCCTTTTGGCAAATGTCTAAAGAGCCAAATTATGAGTCACATGAGAAAAAGTCTCATTATATTCGACTTATACTTCATCTGTAAAAAAGAAAAATATCACTACACAGTTTGATTATCTACCTTTTTCATTAAATACAGCTCTGAATTTTGAATCCTTCCAAAAATCAACTCTACCTTTAAATGATGTTTTGGCACTATAAGGCCTGAGTTCAAATCCTGATTCTGCCCTTCACTACCTTGTGGGGTGTTAAATCACAGAACACTTCACTTGCAAAACTTTATAAAAGCAATGAGTCGGACTAGGAGCCCTGCAAGAGCCTCTGCCAGCGCTCAGTATGTGATCCTATATGTAGCATGATGTGAAGGCATTTCCAAAGTAAGAGGTTGCCAGATGTTTGGAGCAATGATAACATTTTTTAAAGAATACAATTCCCAAGGTGATGACTTCCAGGGAGACAACATTCATCTGGGGGGCAGAAATTTTAGTACATTTGTTTTTTTAAAAAATCACTTCTCATGTTGGTCTCCAACCCCCTCCCCCCCACCTCCATGTGATAAACTCCAGTGGGTGCCTAGCTCCTCCAGGATCAATTATAAAAGCCTTTTTAAAGCCTTTCACGAGCTGGCCCCCTCCAACCTCCCCAGTCTTCTTACATCTTACTCCCCTCCAGGTACTGTATGGTCCAGTGACACTGGCCTCCTGGCTGTTCCATTTCCCAACCCTAGGCATTTTTACTGACTCACCCTCATGCCTAGAACACTCTCCCTCCTCATGTCTGCCTCCTGGCTTCCTTCAAGTCCCAGCTAAAATCCCACCTTCTGGCCAGAAGCATTTCTCAGTCCTCTTTAATCTTAGTGCCTTCCTTAGCTTCATTATTTCCAGTTTATTCCATGTACAGCTTGCTTTGTATATGTTTGCACATTGTCTCCCCCAATTAGATTGGAAGCTTCTTGAGGGCAGGGACTATCTTTTGCCTTTCTTTGTATCCCCAGCATTTAGCACAGTGCCTGACACATAATAGGCATTTAATAAATGCTTAACTTAACTTGACTTCAACTTTATATTATGTGTCACATACATACATGTCACATGCATAAATTTATAAGAAGAATTAAAGAAGTTTCTTTGTAATTTCCTGAAGTCAGAACAGAACAATAAAAGTTATTTTCTTTTTAACTCTGGTGATAGTAATCTCTTTTTTTTCCCAATAACTAGAAGCAACGTCACTGGAGAGGACATTTTGAGATTTTCTAGGTCACAGGAGTCAGAAGAGACTTTAGAGGCCTTTAATACAAATTCCCACCCAAGGCAAGAAACTACTACATCCTTGCCCGTGTTTTATTTATTTTCATGTTACTTTTATCACTGTTCACAGGGAGTGACAGAGCTAAACATACAGTTCAAAAATGTTTAGGAAAGGGCAATTCTACTCTACCACACACCAAAGAAACCAACATGTGGCAGCAGACCACAAGGTGGGTCTCTTGGCCTGTAGGCCAGCCACGGGGCCATGGATCAGGCAGGAACATTCATATGTACGTCAACCTTTGTCATTCTGATGGTCGATTAGAACAAAATTTGGCTTCTCTAGTCTGCATAAATAATGTCTTCCACGCTTAAATATTTAATTCCTTTTCAAATATATGTAGATTCTGTTTGATTGGGTTTTCTCTGACCAGACCTCTGATTTCATCTGTCCTGGTGAAACTTTTCTTTTTCCAGTACAGATTGGCTCCTCTGCACCTCAGGCTTAGATAGTTATCAGCATCATTAATTTTTATTATTTTTTTTTTTTTTGGCTAGGCAATGGGGTTAAGTGACTTGTCCTGGGTCACACAGCTAGTAAGTGTTATATGTCTGAGGCTGGATTTGAACTCATGTCCTCCTGAATCCAGGGCCGGTGCTCTATCCACTGTGCCACCTGGCTGCCCCCTATCAGCATCATTGAGAGATTAAATGACTTACCCAGAGTTGCCCAGTCTATATATGGTAGAGACAATACTTGAACCCATGTCTTTCTGTATCCAAGGCCACTGACTACACTATGCTGACTGTTCTGATTGATAAAATATAAATTCACTTAAAGCATTAAATCATGGTAGCTTTTTGTTCATGTATTTTCTCAAGGGATGGATACTAATAATCCAACTACTTTCATATGGCAATCCATGAAATTTTTTTATTTGTATATTTTGTTCAGTTGTGTCTAACTCTTCGTGACCCCATTTGGGGTTTTCTTGGTAAAGATACTGGAGTGGTTTGCCATTTCCTTCTCCAATTCATTTTATAGAGGCAAACTGGGTTAAGTGACTTGCCCAGGTTCATACAGCTAGTGAGTATCTGAGGCCAGATTTGAACTCATGAAGATGAGTCTTCCCATCTCTAAGCCTGGCACTCTATCCACTGCACCACCCAGCTGCCCATTTGTACACTAATGACCTGAGTTTGTGTTCTAGCTCTGTTATTTCCTAGCTGTGTGATTTTTGTCAATTTACTTCATGTTTCTAGACCTCAGTTTCCTCATCTGTAAAATGAGAGAGTTTGACTACATGGCAGCAAGGTAGGCAATGGATAGAGCACTGGACCTAGAGTGGGGAAGACCTGGGTTGAAAACCAGCCTTAGATACTTACTAGCTGTGTGACCCTGGACAAGTCACTTAATCTCTGTCTGCCTTTGTTTCCTCAGCTGTAAAATAGGGATAATAATAGCATCTATCTCCCAGGGTTGTTATGGGGATAAAATAAGATAATATTTGTAAAGTGCTATGCAAACTTTAAAATGCCATGTAAATTCTAGCTACTATTCTAAAACTCCTTCCAGGTTTAGTGAAATAATAACAACTTTAATATAGTCCTTATTATGTTCCAAGCACTGTGCTAAGTGCTTTACAATTATTATCGCAATTAATCCTCACAACAACCTTGGAAGGTAGATGCTATTATTATCCCCATTTTACAGATGAAGAAACTGAGTTAAAGTGACTTGCCCAGGGTCACACAGCTAGTAAGTGTCTGAGGTTGGATTTGAACTTGGGTCTTTCTGATTCTAGCCCAGTTTTCTATCTACTGTGCTACCTAGCTGCTCAAGAGAGGCATGATTCCACAGAAATTCAGTGGAGGGGGTGGGGGGAAAGGGGGTTCTGCTTAAGAAATTATGAAAATACACTTATATTTATTTGGAATTATTTTTATTTAATTGACCATAATATGAAATTTAGGTATGTATTATTGTTTGTTGTAGTTATTCAATAAAGTTTTATAAATAGAACCATTTAGTTGCATTGTGTTTCACAATTTACAAGGTACTTTCACATCCATTATTTTATTTAATCTTTACTACTCCTCTTCAAGGCAGGTGTGGCAAGTATTTGTATTTTCATACACAGATAAGAGAAGTAAGGCTCAGAGAAGTTAAATGTCCAGAGGAAGGACCCCTGGGCCTTGCCACTCACCCCCCACTTCACCATTAGGTGAAGGACTTCCAAGACTCATCACCTGCCCTCTGGCAGATGAACTTTCCTTTGTCTGTTGTCTCCCCCAATTTGACTATGATCCCCTTGGAAGCAGAGACTGCCTCGTTTTTCCATTTGTATTCTCAACACTCAGCACAGTGCTTGACACATAGGAAATACTTAATAATTTTTTAAAAACTCCTACAGTTAAGGTCATACAAACAATGAGAGACAGAAAGAGAGACAGAATGTGGGTCTTCTTCATCCCACTCCAGGGCTCTTGGCACCAACCCTTGATGGCTTGTTACCTGTTTTTTTTTTTCTTTTAATTTTCCATTAAGGGTTATTTTAAATCTATCGCATTTCAATTGTTAAATCTGATAAGTGGATATCAGTGTCTGGCCATTCATGTTTGTTGAAATTTTCTAAAATGAAAACTGTCTGGGGAATCAGTTCAGACTGGCGTCCAAGCCTAAACCTTTAAAAAAAACAAAAAACTAATGAACTGAAACAAAACCAGAACATCAGAATAGTACCTGAATCAAACAAATATTTCAAATGGTTGAGCCTCTGTCCTTAACTTGGGCATGTCCTTATCTTGGTTTCATACCAAATGCAGAAGGACTGTATGTTATTAAGCAAGACTTTTCTTTTTGGGCCCATTCATCCCATTTAAAGCAAGTGGAACTGATCCATAACCTGTGAGGTGGCAGAAAGCCCCTAAGCTTCCTTATCCACTCCTTCCCCCAGCTCTCCACCACAAGAAAACACTCCAGAACTAAGTGGTTTCCTCACTCCCTAGATGTTCTATTCAAGCGAAGGGCTCCAAGGTCTTGCATGAGTCTGCAAAAAAGATAAAGGTATAAATACAGACCAAAAAAGCTTATTTGTTGTCCCTTCTCTGCTCTGCGTAGAAAAGTAAAAGGATGTTCCACCCATTGAGCACAAGGAACACGGATGAATCTCTGCATATGTAAATCCTCCCAGGAAATGGCTGCCTTCAATCCCAATACAGAAGACAGTTGTGCCTGAAACAGCCTCTCTTTCTGGGCTGCCTGCTATGAGTTGGTGTGGTGGCCTGGAAGGCTTTCTGGACAGCTCCTGTTTCTTCCTCACCTGTTTTGCAAGATCCTGCAAGGTCGCCAAGTCACTGGCCTTTGCAGACTTAAGACTATTCAGTTCATTCTGTTTCATTTCTGTGTCTTTATCATACTTCTCCATCCAGTACTCTAATTTCTCTTCCAGTTTCTGTTTGGAAAAAAAAAAATAAGAACCAGAGAAGAAAATGAAGATTCTGAGGAAGGAAAGTAACAGAAAATTGAAAATATGGCATGAAAACAACCAAGTACAAAACATTCCTGAGGCTCCTCTGGTTCAAATCTCTTGAATTTCAGTCAATATCAGGCTAGGATTTCCAAGGTGTTCAAAATGACTTCAGGAAAAAAAAATCTTTGGTCCAAAATTATATGAAGAAATTTGATCAAACTGTGAAAAACTTAGCTACTCTGATCAAGACAATAATCCAAGACAAATTCAAAGAACTCTTTTTTTTTGGGGGGGGGGGAACCAATGGGGGTTAAGTGACTTGCCCAGGGTCACATAGCTAGTAAGTATTATGTGTCTGAGGCCGCAATTGAACTCAGGTCCTCCTGAATCCAGGGCTGGTGCTCTATCCACTGCGCTACCTAGCTGCCCGCAAAGGAACTCTTAATGAAAAATGCTATCCACAGAGAGAGAGAGAGAGAGAGAGAGAGAGAGAACTGATGAACTGTGAATGCAGATTGAAGCATACTTGTTTTTTACTTTCTCACTTTTTCTTGGGGGTTTTTTGGTCCATGTTTTCTTTTGTAGTTTACCTAATATGGTAATATGTTTTATGTGGTTTCTCATGTGTAAGTGATATAAAACTGCTTGCCTTCTGAGGGAGGAGGGGAGAGGAGGAGGAGGGAAATAATTTGGAACTCAAAATTTTTAAAATGACTTAAATTTTTTTAAATGTAATTATGAAATATTTAATGAAATAAAATACACTAAGAAAAAGAAATATGATCAGTGCTGGAAATACCCCTCTTGCTCCCTACTCTAACACCAAAGTTTTAGGTCATTGCTGAGGAGCATCAACCATATGGTTCAGTCGTGTTTCCTTGGGTTCAATATGTAGCAAGCCAAATACCTAAGATGAAATGTCAGAACAAGCCTGTTTTTCTTTTTTGTTTGTTTGTTTGTTTGTTTTTTGGCAAAGGGGGATGTTAGGACTGGGATAACCAGTACTGTATCATGTCCTTTTGAGCCAAAGGAATTGATTCCCCCAAATTGTGCTAGATATGTTGGCTACTGGGTCAAAGGGAGATGGGGGCCATCTCTAGTCGTCATGATCCATATCTGGCCACTGGACCCAGATGGCTCCAGAGCAGAGAGTGAGGCTGGTGACTTTGCACAGCTCTCTCTCACCTAAATACAATTCACTTACAAGTCATGACATCACTTTCCTGATGTCATTGATCCTCTTCCAGAATGAAGGACAAACAGCATAGGGAGATAGACACTGTTCAGTTTGCTCAATTTGAAAGTGAGATTTGAAAGAAGGAAGAAAAGGAGTTAGAGAAATTATAATGGCAAAGAGACATTATGTGACCAGAGGGTTTGGAGAGAGTCACTGAGCAAAAGGGAAAGGGGCAACTCGGTGGCTCCACTGTGGATAGCACACCAGCCCTGGAGTCAGGAGGATTTGAACTCAGGTGCAAATCCAACCTCAGACACTTGCTAGCTATGTGACCATGGGCAAGCCATTTAACCACTATTGCGTTGAAAGAAAGAAAGAAAGAAAGAAAGAAAGAAAGAAGGAAGGAAGGAAGGAAGGAAGGAAGGAAGGAAAGAAAGAAAGAAAGAAAGAAAGAAAGAAAGAAAGAAAGAAAGAAAGAAAGAAAGAAAGAAAGAAAGAAAAGAAAAGAAAAGAAAAGAAAAGAAAAGAAAAGAAAAGAAAAAGAAAAAAAAGGGAGCCTTATTTTCATAAAGCAATGAAAGGAGGACCTGGGCTGAATTTCTGGAGAAAATAGCTGATGAAATGGATCTTGAATTCTACAGTTCTCTGGGTACAAGATTCCAAAAACTAATTCCTTCAAGATGACTACAAAATTGTGATATGAGTCTGTAAGAATAGTATGGGTAGATCTAAAGCTTGGAATGAGCTGGTAAGGAAGGCTATGAAGAGCAAAAAAGGGTTTGGGCTTTAAAAAAAAACTAGTGAAAAAGAGAAAAGAAAAGAAAAGATCAAGGAAGAGATAAGACCACTCCTTAGGGCAGATGGGATAACAAATAACAGAGAAGGGACTGCTGATCAACTCTTGTTTCATTTCTGCTTTCTCTGCTAAGGATAACAAGCTTTGGGCTGAAAAAGAAAGAACTATGACTAATTCTGAGTTGAAGCCTAAGATTTAAGTAAGAAGATAATAACGGAGCCCTTAGCCTTCTTTGATTCATTGCAGTTAATGGGCCCAGCAAGACTATATCAAAGGTTACGGAAAAAAACTGGCAGATGGATTACTGCTCTGTCACTAACCTCTGAAGGATCATGGAGTATAGGAAAGGCACCACAGAGGTGGTGGAGGAAGAGAAATGTCCCAGTTTTACAAAACAAAGTAAGAGACTAGAGGCTCCAAGTGACAGACCAGTGAACTTGACTTAATTCTTGGCAAAATATTAGACTGTATTATTAAAGGAAAAGGAAATGGTGTTTACAGAGAGCCAACGTGGCTTAATCAAAAACAGGTCATGACAGGTTGACTTGATTTCCTTTCTTTGACAAGGTTACTAAATTGGTAGACCAGGAAAATACTATGGATATAGATTACCCCTAGATTGCTGGAAAAGATTTGACAAAGTCTCTTGTGCTATTCTTGCAGAAAAGATAAAGAGAAGTAGATAGACAAGAGTCCAGTTATTTGGGGATTTGCTTTGCTTGACTATGCATATTTGTTATGAGGGATTTTGTTTTTGTTTTTTCTTTTCCAATGGAGCGTAGGATGTGGGAGAGAGTGAAAACAAGTGTTTGTTAACTGAAACAAATATAAAGAGACTATTTCACTATGGAATTCACAAGAGAATAGGTTCTAGAAATAAATATAATTTTGAAATTTTGAAACATGAGAAAAATAAAGTACAGTTAGATGTATTCAAAACTGTTTGCATGGACAGAACCAAAGAGTAGTCATTAATGGTTCAATGTTGGCTTGAAAGGAGGCCTTTCACTAATGGACAGTGTGCTCCAGGGCTCTTTGCTTGGGCTTGGCTCTCTATTATTGGCCATTTTCTTCAGTGAGTTGAATAAAAACTTAGTTGATATATTTATCAAATTTTCAGATGACACAAAGCTAGGAGCAATCAGTAACGCATTAGATATAAAAAAGATCTTGACAGGGTATGGAATGTTTAGCCAAAACTAACTGGCTTGCCAATGGGTTCAGAAAGCTAACTTTATAAGTATAAAATGGGGGAGGCATGGCTAGATAGGAATTCATTTGGGGAAAAATATTCTGGGGGTTTAAAAGGTTTGGGATAATAGAATATGGACCTAAATCTTGGCCCTATTCCTACCTGTGTGATCTTGTTGGGTTGTTTCATTTATCTATACTTCAGTTTTCTCATCTGTAAAATGAGGAAGTTGGATTAAGTGATCTTGAAGGACTTTTGTTGTTGTTGTTGAGTTGTATCTGACTCTTTGTGACCCCATTTGGGGTTTTCTTGGCAGAGATACTGAAGTGGTTTGCCATTTCCCTCTCCAGCTCATTTTGCAGATGAAGAAACTGAGGCAAACAGAGTTAAGTGACTTGTCACACAGCTAGGAAGTGTCTTAGGCCAGATTTGAACTCTGGAAGATGAGTCTTCTTGACTCCAGACCCAGGATCTATCCATTGCCCCAGCTGGAGAAAATCCAGAGGAGAGGGACTTTAAGATTAAGCTATATGAGAATCAGTTGATAAAACTGGGTATACTTTTGAAAAGAGAAGACTTATTAGGGGAAAAGTGTAGGAGTGATGGCTATATTCATATATGGGTAGGGTTATCACTTATTGGAAGAGGGGTAACACTTCTTTTTGGTTCCAGAAGCCAGAACCAAAAGCAATCAGTGGGATCACAGAGAGGCAGATTGAAGATTGCTATAACAGGATCATATATTTAGAGATGGAAGGGACTTTCTTCAAAATAATCTAGTCTAACTCCTTAATTTTGATTAAGGAAATTAAGGCCCAAAGACATTCAGTGACTTGCTTAAGGGAAGACTTCCTAACAATCAGAAGCACCCCAATGTGGAATGAGCTGCCTTGGGAGGTACTAGGCTCTCCCTCACCAGAGGCCCTCAAGCCATTTTTAGAGGTTATTCCTGTATAGGTACTGATTAGACTGAAGTCTCTGATAACTCTGAGATTCTGTGATTCTCTTCTGAGGAACATCCTCCAAAAATCTTCTTAATTTCCTCAGTTACTCTTCAATTTCTAGACGTTGTACTGGAAAGGGTCTTTCCCACAGGTAGATGGGATTGAGCTATATGTCAATAAACACAGTTATTTGCTCTATAATTATCCAAATGAAGCCTCTTGAAGTACTCCTGCTGGTTTGATCACGTGAACTTCTAGTTTCAGAAAACATTAAAAGGCCTTGCCTGGTTTGTAATTAGTGTTCTTAAGGGATAATTTAAATCATTTGAGCTACCCACCTGTTGTTCTTTCTTGAGGAAGCTTTCAATTTCTAGGTGGACCCGAACCTCTTCATCAATTTTAAGTCTCAGTTTCTGTGAGTAGAATAGACAAGGAGATGTCTGGGATTTTCACTGGCAAATTACAAGCTTTAGTTGGGAAAAGGGGGATAGGTATGAAGTGGTGATATACATAAGCTTCTCATCTTTGAGTCACGGAATCCCAAAGGACTCATCAATAGGGGCTGGAATGGCTCTTAATGAAAAAAAAAAAAAGGATAGTAGCTTTGTTGACATGGAAAGAAAAAAATGGAAAAAGTAGGAAAGCTATTTGTGAGGATACCATGCCAGCCTGGATCAAGCAGAGATGGGATTAAAGCTTGGATAACAGTCTGCAAGCTACAGAAGTCAATGTTAAAGTGCAGAGAAAAGGGATACACCCATCATTTTGGGAAGTCAAACACCAGGTAATCAGGAGAATCTAAGTTAGGATGCCTACAACTAGATGTCGCTCTCTTTGGAGGGTTCATAGTCTTATGCTACAGATTTCCAAATGAAATTAATCTAATCCCAGCTAATAATTATTCTCCCTTCAACTCTGTGGTCCTTCCATTTGGCTATTTCTGTCCATGGCTTATGACTGGACTTTGATGACTCTGGGAAGAGAGAGTGAAGCTGACGACTGTGTGCAACGCTGCCTCACTTAAATCCAATCCAAGAGCAAATCAAGACATCACTCATGATGTCATTGGTCCTCTTCAAAATGAAGGGCAAACAACCACTACCAGGCTTACATCTTGAGTTCCTGTCCATGCAAATGCAGAAGGAAGCAGAGCCCTATGAACTTGGCAGTGTTCACAGAAGTTATAAGAACTCCTTTGTGGGTGGTTTTTTTTTTCTTTTAGGGTAAAAGAGGTTCAGTGACTTGCCCAGGGTCACACAGCTGGTAAGTGTCTAAGGCCAAATTTGAACTCAGGTCCTCCTGACTCCAGGGACAGTGCTCTAACCGCTGCACCACCTAGCTGCTCCTTGTCTGGGTGTTCTAAGAATCAAAACAAACATGTGGTCACACAGTACCCTGCTCTGTCCTTATTCCTTTATAAGGAGTCAAAGGCATGGTTTTATAAAATAAGAATAAAGTGATTAAACATAAATAAACCAACTTCCAGCATCATTAGAGAAGAGCAGTATATTCTGGCTCTAGTCCACCAGCATCTCTGCTCTCAAGTTTACAACCCAAAGCTTGCTTCTGTCCTCTGGTACGTGACATGCTGGAGGATGGAGCAGTGTCCAACAGTACATTAACCTTCCAGTTGCTTGTAGGCTGGGTCAGTGAGGCAGTGGCTATTTAACTTGCATTGGCTCATGCAGACACACAACTTACGTCAATCTCTTCCAGTAAGACCTCTTCATTTTTGTTGCATTTTTTTTGGGTCTGAGCAATCTGCAGGTCGGTGTTTTTCTTCACATATCGGCTCTCCATATTAGTCTTTGCCTTCAACTCTTGCAGCTGGTCCTTGAGATTTGCGATATATTCATTCCGTGCCTACAGGAGAGAGGATTTTGAGTCGAGAAATCCTTTCTTTGACAGATCAATAGAAGCTATATCAAAGTAATTTTCTCTATCTTTTTTAGCTTTGAACCCACCCAGTTAAGTCTATCTCTTTCTCTTCTTTGAATAAGGTCCCCACTCTACTGTCTCCTTTCAGCTGGATTTCCTGTAAGTGCACTCAGACTAGCAAGCACTGTATAAAGTAAATGTTTAAAATAAAGAAAGGTAAACACACTTGCACTGTGCTCAGAGGGAAAGATTTAAAGCTTCCATGAGGGAAGCCAAAAGGGAATGAAGGTACAGGATTACTAGTTTAAGATCCATTCTTGGGGGAAGAAGGCAGGGAGAGGAGACCTAGCTTCCAGCAATGCTACATTTGTCCTGCCAATCCTCATGCCTGATAAGTCCAAACAGCTTTGTTCCTAGGTTCTGATCCCTTTCTTCGTGGTGACTGCCTCTGCCTACACTTCGGTTCTCCCAGGTCCATGTGGCTGCCTATGGTTTCCCCTTCCTTAGCTTTCTGCATCCATTGCATCTGTATATCTCATCAGGAGCTGGATTTCTCTTTGAACCCAATTTCCTCCTGGACTGACTCAACTGACTTTGAAAAGTCATCAGGAGGGAAGGAGAGGGTGGGTTATGACTATTTGCTTTGTGCCAGCATTTCCTTTCTAATTCACTCACAAGACCTGTTCGCACATCCTAAAGCAGGGGTGGGGAACTTGTGACCAAGGCCCCTGTGGCCTTGTAAGTCCTTGGGTATGGCCTTTTAAGTCCAAGTTTTACAGAACATATCCTTTTATTAAGGGGCTTTGTTCATTGAAGTTTGGATTTAATCGAAGGGCAGCACTAGAGGACTTCGAGGCCACAGATTCCCCACCCCTGTCCTAAAGGAATAACCTGAAGTAGCCATATTTTTACAATTACTTTAATATATCACTATTGGCCCCTTTTCTAAGATTATGTCCTGTTTTTTTAAGGAATACCCCTTACACTATTTAAAAAAATATATCTTTATCATCTTTAGTCAGTTTTCTAGGTATGGGGTAAAACCTCAGAGTTGATTTGCTTCACATTTCTCCTATCATTACTGATTTTAAGCAATTTTAATATGATTGTTAATAGCTTACTTATTGAGAATAATAAGTTAATAACTTATTTATTGGAAAGTTTGTTAATATCTTTTGACCATTTATCTTTTGGAGAATGGCTTTTGGTATTATTTGGCTGAGTTCTTGAGATATCTTGGGTATCAGATACAACTAGTGTTTTAATAATAAGTGAGAAACCGCTTTTTGGGGGAAAAAAACAACTTTGTGCTATGGAGAATTTTGAAAATAACTGTTTAGAAATATTTAACAGCTGTAAAGTGAAGGGTTGAGGTCTTTTCCAGCCCTACCTTTATGATCTTATGAAATAGTACATGATTTTATTGCCAAAAACTATGTGTGTCACCTGTAAAAACTCTCATCTGTATATTTTAAAAGCTTGGAAACATAATCTCCTAACTTCTTTAGAAATATTTTGAATGAAGAATTTCCATGAGTTTTAAGCCAATTTGTTAAAAATATAAACATTCAAGAATTTTTTTTGACATTGGGGAAAGATGAAAAGTACAGCCAACAATATAATTTTTCCACTTGGAGTTATCTTTGTAAGCTTAGACCATTAAAACCAAGTAATGAAGTAAACTAAACTCAGAATTATGTGCACGAATACAATTTATAAATAAATACATATATAGAGATGTTATCTTCTTGTTGTTCAGTTGTTTTCAGTTGTATCTGACTCTTTGTGGCCCCATTTGGGGTTTTCTTGGCAAAGACACAGGAGTAGTTTTCCATTTCCTTCTCATGCTTATTTTACAGATGAAGAACTGAGGCAAATAGGGTTAAATGACTTGCCCAGGGTCACACATAGCCTGTAAATAAGTGTATGAGGCCAGATTTCAACTCAGGAAGATGAATCTTTCTGACTCCAGGCCTGGCACTCTATCCAACTAGCTGCCCTGAGAGAGGGTGCATGCCCCCAATTTTTTTTTAATGATAATGGTTGAATGACCAGTGATATAGACAACCAGAAATCCTCTTCATCGTCTTTCTTTGGGAGTTCTCTCTCTACTCTAATTTGTTTGTCAGGTCTCTATAACAATGTTTTTTTTAATTGATGAATTTGTTATTTGAACTACTTTGACTTCTGGCACCACCTTTGTCCTTCCACTTTCATTTTATATTGTTGCTGATCTCGTCTAATCTCATCACCAGGGGTTAACTTAGCCTTGATTATGCATTCCTATCCCCCTCAGCCTCCTTCCCACTCAGAGTGGAGGGCTGGAATGTGCTAAACTCCTCCCAAAGCTTTCCTCAGTGGAGGGCAGAAACCAGACTACAATTCATTCCACTTTAAATCTGCAGCTCTCAGTTCAGCTTCCAATAGCCAAGACGGCAGAGTAAGAAGTAAGTCACTCTTACCATCCCTTATTAACCTCTGAAAGCCCAGAAAATATTGCCCCAGGAAAAACTCTAGAACAGCTGAACCAGAAGAAAGAATTGGTGCAGCAGTCCAGTAGCCCAGGTAGCTTGAGGGATTAATGGGAAAGGCCCCTTCTGCCCTGAGAGAAGGGGAGCAGCGCAGAATGGGAGGTGTCCAAGCAAGCTAGAGGAAAGCCCCACCTCAGTATACCAGGGGGAGATCCTCAACCCCAGGTGGTGAAGCAGGCAAGCACCAACACCAGGACCCCACAGTGCCTCAGTAAGAGCAGGGGACCAGTGGAAACCAGCTCAAAAAACCACTATGTGCCTCGGCATTCTAAGGCAACCAAGTCTCCCAGTGCCTCAGCAAAACTCTGGGAAGTGCTCCAAGGGGCCCCAGGTGGAGAAATATTCTGCAACATCCATCTGAAAGGAGCTGAAGAAAGCAAAAGGAAGGAAAGGCCCAGGTGAGCAGGCAACCTCCAGGGGCCAGACTATCCAATCCTACCCGTAGAGTTCCAGTGTTGCTGATTCCAGAATCAGGTAAGCTGCCAGAACCTTACAGCCTCCAAATGCCAGCACACAAAGCCAGTGACCAGGCCCTGGGCTCCCAACACAAGAAGCTTGGGTCAGTGCCCTCTGCTCCCCAACAGGAGAGCTCAATCTCTTTAAAGGCCAGGAAATAAGCAAATACTATGAGCAAAAAGAAACGTACCATAGATTCATATTATAAGAACAGTGAAGATCAAGGCAGAAATTCTGAAGAGGACAACATTGTCAACAAACCCACATCGGGAACCTTAAAAGAAAATAAAAATTGGTCTGAAGCCCAAAAAGTCTTCTTAGAAGAGCTCAAGAAGGATTTTAAAAGTCAAATAAGAGAGGCAGAAGAAAAAATGGGAAAAGAAATGAGAGGTATGCAAGAGAGAGTCAACAGCCTGGAAAAAGAAGGACAAAAATTAACTGTAGAAAACAAGTCTTTAAAAAATACAATTGATCAAATGAAAAAAAAAGTACACTGAAGAAAACAACTCCTTAAAAAGCAGAATTGGCCAAATGAAAAAGAAGACACAAAAACTCACTGAGGAGAAGAACTCCTTAAAAAATAAAATGGGTCAAATGGAAAAGGAGGTACAAAATCTAGCAAGTTGTAGTATATGAATATAATGGAATACTATTGTGCTGTAAGAAATGATGAGCAGGGGCAGCTAGGTGGCACAGTGGATAGAGCACCAGCCCTGAAGTCAGGAGGACCTGAGTTCAAATCCAGCCTCAGACCAAACACTTGACATACTAGCTGTGTGACCCTGGGCAGGTCACTTAACCCCAATTGCCTAAAAATGAAAAAATTTTTTTTAAAAATTAAAAAAAAAAAAGAAATAATGAGCAGACAGATGTCAGAAAAACCTGGAAAGACTTGTAAGGACTGATGCTGAGTGAAGTGAGCAGAACCAGGAGAACACTGTACATAGCAACAGCCACATTGAGCAACTTTGATAGACTTAACCCTTCTCAGCAATGCAAGGATCTAAGACATCTCCAAAGGTCTCATGATGGAAAATGCTATCCACATCCAAAGAAAGAACCATGGAGTTTGAATGCAGATCGAAGCATACTATTTGCTCTTTTTTTTTCTTCTGTTGTGTTTTGTTTCCTCTTTCTGGTGGTTCCTCCTATTGGTTCTAATTCTTATTTACAACATCACTAATGTGAAAATATGTTTAGTAGGAATGTATATGCATCGCCTATATCAGGTCGTGTGCCATCTTGGGGAGGGAAGGGGAGAAAAATTTAAAACTCAAAAGCTTATGGAAGTGATTGTTGATAAATCTAAATCAATCAATCAATCAATCTGCTGCTCTTCCTGGTCTAAATTCCAGAGAATAGGATAGCTTACTCCAAGCCAGGTAATCCCTGGTGTTCTTCCCTTCCTGCCCTAACTTCTAGCTTCTTTTTATGTGCTTGTTTTCTCCCACTAGGTCATAAGCCCCTTGAGTGCAGGGACTGTCATTCTCTTATTTGTATCCCCAGAGCATAGCACAAATGCCTGGCACATAGTAGGCATTTAATAAATGTTTATTGAATTGAATATCCAATATATTTTTGTTTTCCAGATTGCATTGCACTAATTCTTCTTTGTTGTCTTTAATCAGGTAATGTGGTGTTTTCTACTAGCTAGATTTTTATATCATTTTTTTAAGACCCTGAGGGTCTTCCCCTCCCAGTTTGATTTTTTTTCCTGGACTAGGTTAAAAAGGCCATTCTTTGCCTCATTTTTTTTAACCTAGCCTTAATCACTGAATGAGCACTGCTTCAGTCAAACTGAGACCCATAAAAGACCTTAGCTTGAAAAGGCCAAGGTCCCACACTGCATCCTGGGCCATCTCCAGTTGTCCTGATCGATGTCTGGCCACTGGACCCAGATGGCTCTGGAGGAGAAAGTGAGGCTGGTGACTATGCACAGCCCTCCCTCACTCAAAACCAACTCACTTGCATGTCACAGTATCATCTCCCTGATGTTAT